TCATAGTAAAAAATTAATTGTTTTCATGTTAGAATATGACTTAAGAACTGGCTTTTAACAAAAATTACTTTATTTATGTGATAAAAATTAGTATTACCATAGTAAAAGTTATGTCGGAATCATGTGACGGTCCATCGAAAGTATAAGATATAGTAAAGTGTAATTTAAAATTGTATTAAAACTTAATATAAAATTTTCTTCGTGTCAAGACGAGAAAAAAATTAATTTTATCTCCCTTCTGAACGAAATATTAAAAAGTTTTGTAGAGAGTATATGATAAACTACCTATTATTTTTCTAATTTGAATCGATGATACTCTGTATCCTATTGGAGTGGATCCTATTTGGAAAGAACGTTGTCCAAATTGTTGTTGGTTTATCAGAATTATTAGAACGTTTGAAATACGTTGCTGCAGAATTTTAAAATTCAAGCAACTTATAACTTGAGCGTTCTACATAATCATTATGGTAATTTAAACAAATTTCTTTTCAGATGTACCTAGCTACATTTTTTAAATAGGTGCCTTATAGCAAAAAGTACCTATTTAAAGTATCGTTCTTTCCGCGTATAATATTTTTGTCAATAAATGTTTCTTTATTCGCTTGGAACATAAGAAAGAAATTTCCATTCCAGTTATTAGACGAATCTTGGGCGACGTTTAAGAAAGTTCATACATAAATAGGATCGAGGCGTCGATAAAAAAAGAAGTCGCGCGCGTAAGCGCACCTATCAGTACGGAAATATCGACTTTATGACATATAGCCACTCAACCCGTTAAAAGAACATCGTCACGCACTTCGGCAGGCTAAATTCGAGACGGTCCGTACTTTACGGAGATATGCATTTATACCGCATCTATGCGTCTGGCGCACACGCTGCACGTTCGACACGCCACGACGTGCGTGTGCACCTTGCGCTCGGTACCTCTCTCCCGCGCATTGTCAGACGGAATGCCGGAAGTTTCGATACTTCTATCCAACGGCGTAAAAGCCGCGACTACGTCGAGCAATCTGCCATGCAATAAAATCGGCGACAAGCCGTGAATTCGTGACACAACGCTCATAAAGGGATTTATGCGCACGTTCGGGAGAAATGAGTCGACGTGGCTGACGTCGGAAACGGTTATCAACGGTGAGGGCATACGCATACGTGTGCGTTTGAATTGACCCCGTGAATAATTTTTGTTGCGTATCTATACCGCGAAAACCTAAATAAAAATCACCAGCTGAAGACATTTTCATTTATAAATAGCTAAATTACTGTATGGCATATTTGTATAATAAATGTTTAATTGTAGTCATTGTAATGTTTAATTACGATTTTTTACAAGATTTTTGTACATGTAGGACCTTATGGATTTATATTTGAAATTCTCTTATATATAAATGTAATGAAGACAAGAAAATTAGATGTACGTTAATATCTCAAAATTCTTCTATTAATAATAATAAAAATTACGAAATTTTAATATACATAGCAAAACAAACGATGTAATAATTTATGAAACCTTTTACGTATATATTTATTGCGTTTACGTTATATGTTACAAAAGTGTAAAGTCCAGCTTGATAGTTTTACAACTCTATTGTTCTTATCGTAAAATCTTGTAGATCATGATCGCTGCTATGTCACTTAAGACATTCCAGACAGGCAATATATAGTTGCAAATGTATTCGTAGTAGCAATTTGTTCATGATAGAAATATAATCAAGTTAGATTAAACAGATACATACGTATACCTGCAAATTATTGCAAAGACATAATAATTAAAGTATATTACAATTGTGTAAATTAGTTTAAAATATTTCATTTAAAGCAACCAAATCCTGATAACTAAAAAAATTTTATTTCAAATAGCTTTAATTTTTCATATTTATGAAAACTATATCAACATTTAATGTTCGAATCAACATTTAATTCAATATTATTATTATTACTTCTATTATTTAAATTATGTTAAACTTTAAAAAGGCATGATTTTACGAATTATAATTTTTCAATTAATTTTCTTTTAATTTTTTTTTAATTTTTTCAATTATTTTATTATTTTAAATAGTTTTCTTGTAAAATGTGTTATATAAAAATATTACATCATCATGATATTCAACTAAATGTATACTAAATTTATTAGAATAACTGTCCTTATTAGTATGCCTTTATATTCAAGACTCCTGAGCAATAATCACATTGAATCGCGACGATTAGAAACGAAAACTGACATGTTAATTTTTGTTATGTATCATTTCTAAATATAGACAAAATGGTAAGATCATTTTAAAATATTTGTAAAAATAAACGAAAACTGTGCTTATCCCCCTGACAGTCAGTAAATAATTATAAAAAGTGATAAAAAAAGACGCGTAAGTGAAAACAGGCTACACATGAGCATTAAATAAAAATACGTTACATGCCTTTTATCATTTTTTGCGATTATTTGTTATTGACTGTTAGCGGAGATAAGGATAGCTTTCATCCATTTTTACAATTGTTTTAAAGCGATCTCATCATTTCGTTTTATCCAAATTGCCTTTATATACAAATGGCACGTAATAAAAATTAACGTGTCATTTCTCGCTTCTGACATCACGATTCAATATGGCTGTGGTAACTATTTAGGAGCATTAAATAAGCTGTAAAGAAGACTAGCAAAATAAATAAGAAAAGTATTTTTTTTTATTCAGTTAAATTATTTTTGAGAGGTGTTTCTGTAGGCAAGAATACTCTCGGGAGGTTTCCACCTTTTTCCGAGAGGAGATATGTGCGTAAATTTTTTTGTTCCTACTGGGATCGAACCCTCCGGGATCTCTGGCATGATAGACCAGTGAAAAATCGTTTGGAACCGTTAAAACTGTAGGTCCCATATGCTCGTGGCAATTGAATAATCAGCGTGCGCAATACAAGCATATGAAAGAGGTGTAACACAGGCCAAGAAACCTAAC